ATGTGCTAGTAAGACTGACAAGATATCCTTGACAGTCAGCCTTTCTCAATATGCTCTTTGCTTTTAAAGCTGAGATAACGCGAGGAAGTGCCTTAATCCTCGATCCATAAAATCTGAATTCCTCTTCTCCCGGTCTTCGACAAATTACCTCTTTCTCAAAACATACTATCGTGGCTCGATTCTCACCTAACTAGTTCATACCTAAAATAATATCAAAATCTTTCATATCTATAACATACAATTCAGCCTCTAAAGTCAGTCCATCAAAATCTATCTGTACCCCTTTTGCTATCCTATCCACATCAATAGTTCCACCTGATGGCATACTCACCTCAAATACACTAGCATTCTTCTGACATAAAGCATTAATCTTAGCTAGACATGCATTAGATATGAACGAATTTGTTGCACCAGAATCAATCAGGACGTTAACAGGAATATTAGAGACAGATAAAATACCTGCAATCACGTTAGAATTTTTCGTATCCTCATCGTGAGTCAAAGCAAACACCCTTGCTTTTCCCTTTTTCTCTTGTTCAGATTTCTTAATTGATGGGCACAAAGAAGCCACATGGCTGGGTTGACCACACTTATAGCAGAAATACTTTTCATACAGACATTCTCCTTTGTGAAACTTGCTGCACTTAAGACATTAGGATACAAGATTGTTTGACTGGCCCGCATGCATCTGCTTCTTAAACTGTCCCGTATTCCTATTCTTGTCCTGCCACTTCCTTTTCCCCAAGTGTTTACGTTGTCCTTGATTTACCAACTTCACCCCCGAGTAAGTCACTATTTGAACTTTCTTTACCACCGCTTGAAAATTGGTGAGATCATGTGAACTCACGATCTGCCTGATCTTTGGACGCAGGCCCTTCTCGTAATATTTTGCCTTCATGAACTCTGTACTTACAAGATGTAGGGTATATCGGGACAATTCCTTGAATTTGCTCTCATACTCAAAAAGTTCCATATTTCCTTGTACCAGTCTTAAGAATTCCATCTCCTTGTGGTCTCGCATAGCTTGTGGGAAAAACTTTTATATTAGCTTCATCTTGAACTGATCCCAAGTTAAGTTACGTTGTTCCTCCTCGGTGCGAGTGCGTGATGCAGATTCCCACCAACGGCTTGCTCTACCGATTAGCATAAACTCTGCACATAATACTTTTTGATTTTATGGGCAAGAGATGTGACGAAAAATCTTCTCGATAGTACACAACCACTCATCAACTGCTAGAGGGTCTTTTCCACCATCAAAGGTAGGTGGTCGGTATCTACGAAATCGTTCTACTATCGGAACAGGCGTACAGTCGGGTATGTTGGTGGCACCAGCGAAGCTTGTGGAACTAGTGAAGCTTGAGGTGCTGGAGGTGTAACCTGAGCAGCTAAGGCTTGTCTCAACTCATCAATCTCCCGCCTTAACTCCCTAATTGTCCTCGCTTGTGCTATATTTCTATATGCCAGAATAATTGCAATCTCTTTTAAAGGAACCAACGATATAGGAAAAAGATTCATAACTCAACATCCTCTATTATTGTCTCATACAAATCCTTCAGGAGACAAAAATAAAAATAAAAAAAAATAGTAAAAGAGCGTCTGGTGCTATTCCACATCATCATAGAAGAAATCCTACTAAACACCAACAACAATTAAACCTGATAAAAACTACTCAAATTCACTTATTCATCATTGCTATCATAATCATTAATCCAGCCTCTATGAATCCTAGGTTTCGTAGAAAACTAAACCTCATCATCCAAAATAGGTGGACGTGCATCTCGGTAGGTACACTATCGTCCTCAGGGATCTCAAGTCAGGCCAGCTCCCACCTCTCAATTAGTTTTGCGCAGAAGACCTCATAATTAATCTCTCGAGGTAAGGTAGGCACAACAACCTCCCATAAATAATTATAAATCGATTCGACCACCTCTAGCCACTCTTCTGGCAATGTCTTAATAAGGAGGCGGGTGGCTCAACGACGAGTGACCATATAACCTAGTTGTCTCACTTCCCTCCATCTTACTAACATTTCCCAAATGTGTTGGCCCATGTTGTGTATTGGATTCCACCGATACTCTTCATATTGCCTCAAGATCTCATATCGATGAGGCATCGATGAACTCATCTTCCTACAAGTTTTCTTAATCCGTACCATCTGAGTCACACCAATTATTCAAAATCCAATAAGTGGGTGTCTAATAAGTTTTAGTCAATTCTTGAGGACTTAAACAAACATTTAATCTCGTCATGTTCTCCAAAAAAATACTTAGCACATTACTGATTATCTACAAAAAGTATTCAAATTGTATGCTAATATTCATACATACATTTCAAGTATTGAATCTCAAATGAACTTTCTCATAATCATCACATAGATGCAAACATATTTATGAAACTTTCTTTACCTCAAATTTGCATGGCTCAGCATGACAAGCATAGTGCTCAGGATCTTCATTAGAAAAAAAAATTCGTTCAACTTATATGTGATACAACACTCCTAAGATTTACTTTCTAATGTGAGTCTACAAAAAATGAACCAATGCTCCAATAACAAGTTCTAACGCCCCGAATTCTCGAAACCCAAAGTGTTAAAAATAATCGATCTTTCTTTGATTCGACCCTTTTGATGTTAACCAAAGTAATTTGTAGATTAGAAAGTTTTGGGTTTTAAAAATATAATGGGAAGTAGTTATTCATAAAAACTTATAAAATTATGGCGAAATTTGGTTTTAGAACACATTTGGAGGCGATTCAGCAATTTCAGATTGAATAACAGCGGAAAAAAATATATTTGGCCTAGCAAATGTTTGTTAAAATTTATGAAATTTTTACAAGGACTAAAGTATTCATATATGTACCACATATAAAAATTTGGGGGCTTGATGATAACGATTGTAGCATGAAAATATTGCTCGAACCTGCTTGACAGAAACCAGAATTTAAAATGACACAATTTACCAAAATGGACATAACTTTTTCTCTAGCTAATGTTTTAAGGAAATTCCAAAGGCTACTATTAGAAGACTCTTAGACTTTCAAATGCCACTGATTTCACTCTAAAATATGGAACGTAGCCCAAATTATACCATTTTCAAATGGAAGATAGAATCTTGAATTATAATCAGCAGTGAATAAACTTCGGTCATAGGCATACCAACATTTCCAAATTATGGTTGACATGAATAGCATATAAAACTGAACAAAACAGATCTTTAAAAGTACCGTCTAATTATTCATAATACGTTGACATAAATTGAAAATTTTACTAGAAAGTTGAAAGCTTTTCAGATTGCCGAGCACTTGCCCTGATGCCAAACCGTCACCATGTCTCAAAACGACCTGTGAGATTATAGTGGGTGTTAGGCTCCGATCTGAGACCGATCTGATACGCCTTGGACGCTCACCACCATATGTTCCGACCTGATAAAGGCCCCATCCGAAGTGCTTCTGAAATGATGTCAGCAATACCTGCAAACTAGTAGTACCTGACCAAAAGTACCTCGCCCCCGAGGCCGAGGCCAAGACCAAGTGGACCCCGATTAGAGGATTCGCCGCCAATTTCAGAAAGAAATTTATACCAAGATCTTCCCTGTACCTATGGTTTAAATTGATTTGACGTCTCCATGAGGCTAGATGATATGACTTATCAACTTTATGTCAATTCAACTCAGAAGAGACAAGCTGTCCGCCCACTCTACAGACGCGACTGATTGACGCCTATAAACGAACGCCTCATATCGTCAGATGTATACACGCATCCCACATCCAACGGCTCATACCACCTTTAAATACCCAAGGTTTGGCAAGAGGCAAAGGCAATGAAAATCTAACTACATAGCACTCCATAGCAAGCTTATATATTTTCTCCTCCCCCATTATCATTGATTTGCATAGCCCCTGGATACTATTCCGACCACTTAAACCTGACTTGACTGTCGGAGCGTATACGACTGCCACCATCCTCGTCGGTCCCGGCCGCGTGTGTCTGACCGTTCGCTGATTATTCGTAGAGAGGAATACGTGGAGTAGCTCTCGATTGGCCACGTGGAAGAGCCATTTTCGAGGTCAACAGATTGGCGCCGTCTGTGAGAAACGCTTCCCATTCAAAGTTTTGCATTCTCCATCGGAGAAGTTACCAGAAAACTAGCGACTAACCCTGAAAATGAAACATTCTTGAAAAAGAATAAAGTCGAGTTACAATCTGAGTTCTCACTACCCTTGAAAAAGAGATAGGATGAACTATAGCCATGAAGACGACAACCCCATGAGAGAGGTACTCCATAACAATGTTACTCATCAGAGACCACATCACCGGCGTCGTCGAGGTGGAAGAACAGCCATACTCACTAAAGGAATGGCTTAGATAGCTGCAGGTATGAGAGACATAGCAGCTCAAAATATGGCAATGCATGAGCTCCTCATGCAAGCCCAGGGTCATCAGGGCTATCAAATGCCCCAAGGATCTTATCTGGTGCTGGAAGTCCCTGTATCTCACTCCCGAGGCCACATGAGCCGGCACATAGAACGTCCCCTCAAAAGGGAAATGAATGCCGAAGCAACATTGTATGTGCAAGGGAGTCAGCCATCAGAACCACGCTTGGGGGACAATTTTCCTCAAGAACATGAGGACCAAAGGTCGGTAAGCGTATTCGACCGGATAGGGAAGGGTCCTAGCAATAGGGTCCGCCCAGCAAGAGGATCAGTTCGTCCAGATCACGAACAAGAACATGCTTCCCCTCCTCCTCCTAGAAATAGGAGAGAAAGAAGGAACCTAGTCGACTGGGAAAGTCGAAGAAAAGCACATCCACCTCCCCAGGACATCCAAGATGATGAAGGGTCAGATGAGCCCTGTCGATCTTATGAGATTGACGATGATGATGGTAACCTCCCTTTCTCAAGGGAGATCCAAAGCTTCCCAATGCCAGCAAATTTCATACCCCCTAAGATCCCCAAGTATGAAGGAAAGGGGGATCCGGAGAAGCACCTCACCAAGTACATGACACAGATGAGCCTGAGGGGAGCCTCGCCTGCTTTAAAATGCAGAGCCTTCCATTTAACGCTAGGCTGGGCCGTCGAGGTATGGTACAATAGGCTTCCTCCCCTAAGCATCAGAAGTTGGTCAGATTTGAAGAAAATATTTTTGAACCAGTACCTCTCACGCAAGGAAAGAGAGGCACCAGTTCAACGCCTGCAAGATATGAGGCAGGCCCCTGGGGAGACGCTGAAAAGCTATCTCGCCAGGTTTACAGACGAAATCACCTACTGTGAACAGGTCACTGACAGAGAAGCCCTTTCAGCCCTGAAGGGTGGGCTCAACATGAACACTTTGTTGTGGAGGGACGTGCGCAGCAAGAATCCCTCCACATATGACGAGCTGGTGGAAATGATGAGAGTGGAAATTGTTAGTGAAGAAATGATTGATCATCGCAACCGTACCGCGCAGGGACTCCCTCCTCCTCAGAGGCAGGTAGGTCGAGGACCCGCAGCACACCTTGTTACTCAGCAATGGACCCAAGCGGGTCATACAATAGCCCCCACATCCGGACAGGCCCTGGCTTCCGCCACATTGAATGCAGTACCAATATTGGCATATGATAATGCCCCTGTCGAAGCGGGACCATCTGGAAGGGCTGATAACAAGAAGAAGAAGAAGAAGAAGAAAAGGTCAAACAGACCCTTGGAAGGGACAAGGTTTTGTACGTTCCATCAACTTTATGGACATGACACTAGTGAGTGTCGAGACGCCAATCGACTCCCTGATCGAAGTGACCCACACCCTTCCATCAGGGACGAATACCCTCGAAGATCCGCCTCCCCGAGAAGGGGAGGGAGAGCTCACAGGGAACAATCTCCTAGGAGAAGAGAATCAAGGGACCGAGGTCAATCAAGACAGGGAAACCAAGCCCAATTTTCTGGAAGCCAGGTCATCAGGGAAATTGATACTATCATTGGGGGACCCCACGTCGGTGGCAACACCAGGAATGCCTAGAGGAATTACACAAGGGAAACAAAGGACTCCCC